GTAGGGAAACTAACGCTGCGCTGGTGTGGCCTGAGGGGAGTGGGAAAGGAGGCGGCTTGTGGAGGGGGCTTCCAGACAGGTGCTCTGGGCTTCAGAAAGGGATCAGTAATTTTAAAAACTCCCAGCAAACAAAAGTCCTAGACCAGATGGCTTCACAGGTGAATTCTACCAAACATTTAGAGTTAACACCTATCCTTCTGAAACTATTCCAAAAAACTGCAGGGGAAGGAATACTTCTGAGCTCATTCTGAGTCCACCATCACCCTGATACCAAAACCAGACAAAGATACCACAAAAAAAGAAAATTACAGGCCAATATCACTGATGAATATAGATACAAACATCCTCAACAAAGTACTAGCAAAAATACCTCAACAAAATACAAATCCAACAGTACATTAAAAGGATCATACACCATGACCAAGTGAGATTTATACCAGGGATACAAGGATTTTTCAATATCTGCAAATCAGTGTGATACACCACACTCACAAACTGAAGAAAAACCATATGATCATCTCAACAGATGCAGAAAAAGCTTTTGATAAAATTCAACATCCATTTATGATAAAATCTCTCCAGAAAGTGGGCAAAGAGGAAACATACCTCAACATAATAAAGGCCATACATGACAAATCCACAGCTAACATCATACAGTAAGTCCCCTACATACAAACGAGTTCCATTCCAAGCGCACGTTTGTAAGTCCAATTTGTTTATAAGTCCAACAAAGTTAGCCTAGGAACCCGACTAATACAATTGGCTATATAGTACTGTAATAGGCTTATAGTACTTTTCACACAAATAATACATAAAAACAAACAAAAAATAAGAAAACATTTTTAATCTTACAGTACAGTACCTTGAAAAGTACAGTAGTACAGTACAACAGCTGGCATCCAGGGGCTGGCATCAAGTCAACAGGCAAGAAGAATTACTGACTGGAGGAGGCGGAGGAGGTGGGAGATGGTAGAGCTAGGATCGTCAGCAATAGGAGACAGAGGGCAAGCTGCAATTTCATTCATGCCTGATGTTGATGGAACGCATGTTTGCATCTTTGAAAGTTTGCAACTTGAAGGTTCGTATGTAGGGGACTTACTGTACTCAATGGTGAAAAGCTGAAAGCATTCCCTCTAAGATCAGGAAGAAGACAAGAATGCCCATTCTCACCACTTTTTTTCAACATAGTTTTGGAAGTCCTAGCCACAGCAATGAGACAAGAAAAAGTAGTAAAAGGAATCCAAACTGGAAAGGAAGAAGTAACACTGTCACTGTGCAAAACCACTAGAAAACTATTAGAGCTCATCAATGAATTTGGTAAAGTTGCAGGATACAGAATTAATATACAGAAAATTATTGCATTCCTATATACTAACAACAAAGTATCAGAAAGAGAAATTAAGGAAACAATCTCATTTACCATCACATCAAAAAGAATAAAATACCTAGGAATAAACCTACCTAAGGAGACAAAAGACCTGTACTCCGAAAACTATAAGACACTGATGAGACTCCCAGACATAGAGAAGAGACTTGTGGTTGCCAAGGGGTAGAGGGTTGGGGGAGGGATGGAGTGGGAGGTTGGGGTGAGCAGATGTAAGCTTTTATATACAGGATGGATAAACAACAAGGTCCTACTGTATAGCACAAAGAACTATATTCAATATCCTGTGATAAACCATAATGGAAAAGAATATTTAGAAAAAAGAATGTGGGCTTCCCTGGTGGCGCAGTGGTTAAGAATCTGCCTGCCAATGCAGCGGACATGGGTTCGATCCCTGGTCCAGGAAGATCCCACATGCCGTGGAGCAACTAAGCCCGTGCGCCACAACTACTGAGCCTGCGCTCTAGAGCCCGCGAGCCACAACTACTGAAGCCCACATGCCTAGAGCCTGTGCTCTGCAACAAGAGAAGCCACCACAGTAAGAAGCCCGCACCCCACAACAAAGAGTAGCCCCTGCTCGCCGCAACTAGAGAAAGCCCGTGTGCAGCAACGAAGACCCAACACAGGCAAAAATAAAATAAATTTTTTTAAAAAAGAGAAAACAAAAAAACTTAAAAAAGGGCTGAAGACCTCAATAGACATTTCTCCAAAGAAGACATACAGATAGCCAACAGGTACATGAAAAGATGTTCAACATCACTAGTTATTAGAGAAATGCAAATCAAAACTACAATGAGGTATCATCTCACACTGGTCAGAATAGCCATCAAAAAGTCTATAAATAACAAATGCTGGAGAGGATGTGGAGAAAAGGGAACCAGCTACACTGTTGCTGGGAATGTAAATTGGTACAATCACTATGGAAAACAGTATGAAAGTCCCCTAAAAAACTAAAAATAGAGTTACCATATGATCCAGCAATCCCATTCCTGGGCATATATCCGGAAAAGACAAGAACTCTAATTTAAAAGATAGATGCACCCTAATGTTCACAGCAGCACTATTTACAATAGCCAAGACATTGAAGCATCCTAAATGTCCACCAACAGATGAATGGATAAAGAAGATGTGGTACATATACACAATGGAATATTACTTGGCCATTAAAAAAATGAAATAATGTCATTTGCAGCAATATGGATGGATCTAGAGATTATCATACTAAGCGCGGTCAGACAGAGAAAGACAGGTATCATATGATATCACATATGTGGAATCCTAAAAAATGATAGAAATGAACTTTTTTACAAAACAGAAACAGACTCACATAGAAAACAAACTTATGGTTACCGAAGGGGAAAGGGATAAATTAGGAGTTTGGGATTAACAGATACGCACTACTATATATAAAACAGATGAACAACGAGGACCTGCTGTATAGCACAGGGAACTATATTCACTATCTTTTAATAACGTACTATGAAAAAGAATCTGGAAAAAAATATATACATATATATGAAACTGAATCACTTTGCTGTACACCTGAAACTAACACAATACTGTAAACCGACTAAACTTCAATTAAAAAAAAAAAAAAAAACCCTGATCTCACTCTCCACCATCCACCCTGCATTATCTAAATAAACCCACGGGAAGCCACAGGGCAAGGAGCGCATTGATTTGGTCTACATAAGGCACCTCCAGAACCACAACAGGGCAGGGAAGAGGGAGGAGGGAGTCTGAGGGGCAAACAGAAGAGAGGCAGCCCTTGTATTGAAGGGATTTGCACCTCATTTTCTTGAAGGGGAAATTTGACACATTGGCAACTGAAATATCCATGGTGCAGTGGTTAAGAATCTGCCTGCCAATGCAGGGGACATGGGTTCAAGCCCTGGTCCGGGAAGATCCCACATGCTGCGGAGCAACTAAGCCCGTGCGCCGCAAATACTGAGCCTGCCCTATAGAGCCCGCGAACCACAACTACTGAAGCCCGCGCACCACAACTACTGAAGCCCGCGCACCTAGAGCCCTTGCCCCACAACAAGAGAAGCCACCACAATGAGAAGCCCGCGCATCGCAACAAAGAGTAGCCCCCGCTCACCACAACTAGAGAAAGCCCGCGCACAGCAACAAAGACCCAATGCAGCCAAAAATAAATAAAAAAATTTTTTTTAAATGCACAGTTTTCTCAGAGAAGAACAAACACCAAAAAGCCCAACATGCTAGTGTTGGGTCAGGGGAGACTGGGAAGGAGGAAAGGCACAGGAATTCAGGAATCCTGTTTTAGCAGACCATTTCTGGGGTGTGCACTTGGCAGGGAGAGGGAAGACTGCAAACTCAGATACCTTCAGGCCACACAGGTGACATGAGTGAAGGTGGACTGTGATGATCCACGCATTCACCATCTCAGGGGGCGGCTGATGCTCAGTTCCAGCT